TATAGTACATCACCGTAGCAATACTACGCTTTAAAATCACTCTGAATACGCCCTCAGAGCAAAATTCTGCGTTCTGCAGATTTTGCTAAAGTGACGACCGTCACAGTCCCATGACGAGCGTCACACGGGTGACGACCGTCACACCCTTGTGACGACCGTCACGCAGCCCAGAACTGCAATCTGGTATAACAGAGGTCGTGTACCCTTCCACTCCCCCCATTATCACTTTCAAACTTCCAACATCCATACCCCACTACGATTTTCGTCATCTCCATCTAAACTATAAACCCCAACTCCAAATTCAACCTCCAAACAGTCGTTCTGTCACATTTCCATCTCTGCCGAAAAACCCCAAAACCTCCGAAACCTCTCCATCTTCAACAATGGCCGGAAACGCAGACATCAACAACATTTCCTTCCCTGAGGGCGAGTTAGGCGAGAGACAACGAGCACAGTACAATGCATTTCATCAGAGGTCTCTCCAGCCAACGCACTACCCGCACCTTCCATCACTTACGGAGCTCGGACTCCTCGAAGGGGTCACCTGGATGCTTCAACGAGCAGGCATCTGGAACCTCTGCTCCAACCCCCAGCCGACCTACGAACAGCTCACCCTGGAGTTCTTGAGTTTGTTCTCCTACATCACCAGCAGCGGCGAACTCAACCAGCACTCAGGCGCCGCCTGTTTCCGGATGTTTGGCGTTAACTATCAGCTGCACCAAAACCAGATTGTCGGCATCCTACAGTTTCCCCGCGGCGACAACGCTCATCGCCGCATCACTGACCAGTTCCAGCACGACGCCTTCGCGCTGTGGTATCAGTTGACCGGCCTAAATGCCGATGGTTGGGACTCCCTACACGCCACTCACATCCATAACCCCACCATCAGGTACTTTCACAGGGTGTTGAGCAACATCATCTTCGCCAGAGACAACAACCACAAAGTGAACTCCAAGGAGCTCTTCTTTCTGCATTGCGTCTTCAACAACGAACCCGTCAACGCTGCCCCGTTCCTGTTGGCCCACATTCAGGCCAACTGCAACCGTGGCTCGAAGCCATTCTACTTTGGCGGGATTGTCACGGCCATTGCACTTGGGCTGAACCTTGGCGACCAACTCCAGCACCTCCAGTCCATCCCCTCGGTGTTCCTTGACACCGACCACTGCAGGGCCTCCCATCTCATCCGCTCCCGAGCTGACGGGAAATATCATCCGGTTGTGCGTGGCAAGACCGTCAAAAGCATCATCCTTCCGTCCCGCACCCGCATCCATCCTGAGGACCGTACCAACTGGTTGTTCGATCTCACTGCCCCTCCTGCTGCCGCTGTTCCTACTCAGGACCCCACTCATGATTCCGAAGATGAAATCCAAGCTGAGTTGGACAGGTCCGAGCAGCCAGAGGCATCGCAGCCTCCTCCTCCAGTAGGTACATCATCCCGCCGCCGCCGTCACCACCCCGTGCCCGACTACACTGAAGAGGACCTCCGTCGCTCCCTAGACCAGCAGGCACAGATACTCACGATGCTGTAGCAGCAGAACCAGCGAGCTGACCAGTTCGAAGCTTGGCACCGGACTCAAATGCAACAACTTCACACCGGTCAAGCTACGATTACTGAGAGTCTAGCGAATCTGACCCTGCAGGTCGAAGGCCTCCGCGACACGGTCTACCACACCGGAGCCATGAGCTACGAGGATAGAGTTGCCCTTGCTAGAGCCAGAGGACGCCAGCATGGACGTGACAGGCCCCGAGACTAGATTTTCATTTTTTCCTTTATTGTTTACTATATTTATGTTCTATGTATTTTCATTTTCAGTTGTATCTCCCTCTCGCATGCTTCAAGAATCAGTGAGGACACTGATCGAGATAGTGTGGGAGCGGAGCCTTATTTCCACTGTATTCAGAACTTCCCTTATTTACTGTATTTCCATTTCACTGCACTTTTGAATTTTAGTAAGTTCTATTTTACACTTTCTATTTCTAGCAAATAAAGCGCATCTATATATTTTTCACGTTACGCAAACAATCCCCACACTTTTCGACGTAAACAAAAATTTTCATTTGTTCCTCAAAAGCAAAAGCATCACGAGAATGCACCTGAGTTCAAACCGAGTTTTGAAACTCCGAGGAAACGACAGTTCTAACAAAACCAGTATCGTCCAGACACCTTAGATCTCTAGTTTATGCGAGTCGGTTTCACCACCTACGTGTACCAAAGTCTCAAGTGTCTACGCGAACTCAACCCCAAGTAGTTTATACTAGCAGTAAGCACCATCCTAAAAACACTTCTAAGCGAGCGACCGATGCAAATAAGTGTATGATCTCCAAAAAGATGAAAAATCATGAAAAGAGAGCTAAAAAGCCCAAGAATATAAGATTCGTTTCCTTCTAAGTTAGGTGCTCCTCACCCGAGCATTTAGCCCAACGGCACGAAAAACTCATTGAAAAATCAATGACACCAAATTATGATCAACAAAGAAGATCAAAAACAAAAACGAGATCATATTCACTAACAGGTCGACTCGCCATGAGAGTGTGCGGACAACGGGATTAATGTGATTGCGCTAGAACAAACAGGGTGAACTTGCCACGAGAACCTTGACACCAAGATACGGTAGCATGAATGAGACCGATTTGCATAAAAGGGAGACCTCCGGAGACTTGTAGTCCAGTGTCGCCGCGATACTCGTCTTGTTCCTACCAAGAATCCCGGTTTTTCCAAACTCCGCGAACGAAGAAGCAGCCTCGTGCTTGCCGACTTTTCCACGTTTTACTTGAGGACAAGCAAAGATTCAAGCTTAGGGGAGTTTGATAACACGAAATCATATAGATATTTTCATGCATAATTCGACTAAAAGCTAACCGTTTTCGATCCGATTTCGGGTTATTTCCATGTATTTGTCTGATGTTTTTGCAGGTATTCAACGATCACGTCTAAACAAGGCAACATGAAGAAAAGAAGCAATCCCAGATGAAATATGGACGAAAAAGGAGTGAAAACACAATGAAAAGCGCAGCAGACAGTTTTTGCTGATGTGACGACCGTCACAGATGCATGACGACCGTCACACGGGTGACGACCGTCACACCTTGTGACGACCGTCATGCAGGCAAAAACGCCCCACTCAGATTACACGTCAAAAGAGCAGTTCCAATTCCCATTTAATGGTCCACTACTCCCTAAATTATCTGCCTCAAGGTCCATCATCCTCAGAGGTAACCGTTGGAATCCCACCTCTATAAAAAGGGAAGCAGGGGACTTCAAAAAGGGAGCTGCATTCATACCACGAAGTGCTGCCCAAATTTATTTTCAAGAGCAAATTTAATTTCCAGCCTTTTTATTATTTGTATCCATTTCTCCAGTTTCAATTGTATCCCTTTCCTTTATTTCCCTTTCCATTCTACTCATTTCCATTTCCGCCCTTCTGTATTTGTTACTGCACTGTACGATCGAATTGGAACTAAAGACAGAATTCTGCCAACATCTGTGGAGGATCTGCCCAAAGGCCAATTGGCATTATTTACAGGTTTTCATTTTGATCGACTCTTATTTTATCATAATGCAATTTATTATTTATTATTATTATTTATGTTTTGTTTTTCCAAATTCCATGTCTATCTAAACTTAGGTAATCGATATGTAGTAATAATTCGGATGGGATTTGATAACTCTTGTTTGAAAACTTTCTTTTCACAAAAATAACTTATGGTCTAAGTGTTTAAAAATTGATTTACGAAATAAACTTCGTCGCGAAAAGCGAGAACTTGTTTTAAAGTAGTTTTGCCACGAAAGTGGGAAATTAATTAAGATACGAACCAACAAGCGAAAGCTGCGGTAAGGTCAGATAGTAAACACTAGGCATTCGTTTTAATAACAGCGAAAGCACTTTAAAACTAATTAGAACTTAGAGATTTCCAAAAAGTAATTTTAACCCCGAACGGAACACGAAAGAGTACGTTAGGCCCTTAGGATTATGATTAGCGTCAATAACCATCGTGAGACGAGAGTCTTCAAATCTCCACTTTCTGCTTAAGTAAACTGCGAAAACTATTTCATACACCGGTAACTTATCAAATCCCTGAAGAACATAATTACTACGTATCGATTCAATTAATTAAAATCTAAATAGTAATCTTAGTTCCCTTTTTTAGTGACAACCTTATCCCCTTAAAACATATTCTACCTAGCTAAACATAGTAACTCCCGAGAACACTAGTTTGATTACGAGTCCCTGTGGGATCGATATCTTTTATTACTACGCGATAGACTGTGCACTTGCAGTTAGAATTGTTAGACATAGAAAGTCGCGATCATATATCTTGTGTGCTCATGGCTTGTGCTCGTTTAGCGGCTTTGAGGTTTGGTAGGCAAATTCATGCATATGTGCTGAGAAGAAGTCGTATTGATTCAGATGTTCTGTTTGTGGCTAATTGTCTCATAGACATGTATTCTAAATCTGGAGATGTAGATACTGCTCGAGTTGTTTTTGACAACATGCCAAAGAGAAACGCCGTCTCTTGGACCTCGTTACTCACGGGATACGACTTGCATGGACGCAGCGAAGACGCTCCCCGTGTTTTCGATGAGATGAGGGAAGTGGCTCTAGTGCCTGATGGCATAACCTTTCTCATATTGCTTTATACTTGTAGTCATTCAGGAATGACGGATCGTGGAATTGATTTGTTTTATAGAATGAGCAAGGATTTTGGGGTTGATCCCGGAACAGAGCATTATGCCTGTATGGTTGACCTTTTGGGTAGGGCCGGTTGTCTAGCTGAAGCTATGAGACTCATTAATGATATGCCGATGGAACCAACACCAGTAGTGTGGGTGTCATTGCTTAGTGCTTGTAGGATACACTCAAATGTAGAACTTGGTGAATTTGCGGCAAAAAAAAAAACTGTTAGAATTGGAGGCCGATAATGACGGGTCATATACATTACTTTCAAATATATATGCTAATGCTAGACGCTGGAAAGATGTGGCTAGGCTTAGATATTTGATGAAACGTACTGGAATCAAGAAAAGACCTGGTTGCAGCTGGGTCCAAGGAAGGAAAGGAATGGAAACCTTCTATGTTGGAGACAGAACTCACTCACAATCTCAGGAGATATATGAAACACTTGCAGATTTGATTCAGTGCATTAAGGCCATTGAGTATGTTCCACAAACAAGCTTTGCTCTTCATGATGTGGATGATGAAGAAAAAGGTGACCTACTTTTTGAACACAGTGAGAAGTTGGCTCTTGCCTATGCCATCCTAACACTTCCCAGAGGAGCACCTATTCGAATCACTAAGAATTTACGCATTTGTGGCGATTGCCATAGTGCCATAACCTACATATCCATGATCGTAGAACATGAGATCATACTAAGAGACTCTAGTCGCTTCCATCATTTCAAAAATGGATCCTGCTCGTGCAAAGGGTACTGGTAAAAATGGAATCAGAGCATTTCATTCAGGATAGCTTTTTGCCATGGGAGATGTAATTATCTTCTTTGACTACACATCAGATATTTACAGTTACGTTGTGATTGGATAGAGAAGATTTGGGCATCTACATTCTTGTTTCATGGGAATGTGTTTATAACAAATGATTTATTTCATTGAATATAACTAACTTATTTTAGTACAATCTGATGGTGACTTCACCGATATATATTCACACTTACAGTAAAGCCTACGGCACTTGTCTACTGCAATTCAGGAATTGGAATACTGCAATTCTTCTGCCTAGTGTTGTTCAAGGACTAACTTTTCTATTTGAGGGACCGGAGATTCAGGTAACTCATAAGCTAATATGTTCAAAGAGATAAGATTTGCTGCCAGATCGTTGAGTTGATATCTACTGTATTTCTTACTACAATTGGGGTATGAAGTAAATCTAGATGATGTGGCCTATTGTTAACAGTGGAATATTAGAAAAAAATTATGAACCAAAAGAGAAAATAGGTAATTGTGTATCTTCACTAAATCAAATTTTTCTAGTTTTTTTTTCATTTATTCGTTTTAAAATATTTTCCCTTTTGTTAGAAGTCACGACCATTACTTCTAAAATAATAGGTGGCTTGTGAGTAAGGAGGTGGTTTTCTATTTTAGATGTTTCTGAAGACATGTGTCTTAATGATCAGCAAAAAAAATTGACTGAATACAGCCAGATCTCGTCAAAAGATATGTATTTTTGTTCTGTTCACGGTCTGAATATATATATATATATATATATATATATATATATATATATATATATATATATATATATATATATATATATATATATATATATATATATATATATATATATATATATATATATATATATATATATATATATATATATATATATATATATATATATATATATATATATATATATATATATATATATATATATATATATATATATATATATATATATATATATATATATATATAAATAAAATTAATAAAGTTAGTTTTTGTGAGTGACTTTCTGTCTTGATTTTAGACATACATAAAAGTTTAAAAGTTAGATTGACACGATTGTGGATTCATTAGAAATTTAAAAAAAAAATATGATTATTTCATCATACAAGGAAATAGACCGGAAATAGATGATGTGTTGAACTAGTCAATTTCTTTCGTAAGTGAATTAATTGTATAAGTAGATGATTTATTGTCAATCATATATTTATCTTGATTGTGACATCTTATAAAATCCAGAAGAAAAACAGTCCTTTTCTCTACGATCTCGTCATCACTCACACCTTAGAATGGCCTTCCCTCACCGTCGAATGGCTCTTAGACCGCCACAGGCCACCGAGAAAAGATTATTCCCTTCAAAAGTCATCTTGGAAATCCATATTTTCGAAAACAAGTCTAATTAGGGTTGAGAATAATAATATTTCAAGTGTAAGTTGGAGTCCTACATTGATTATAAATGTAAAGAGTTGAACATTTATAAGTGGAAGAACCCATCTATCTATTATTTTAAGATTTTGGATGAATATGATATGTCTCTCTCACTTATGTTATTCTTATCAATTTTTAATATTCATAATGCTTTTATAATAAGGGTTTTAGGTTTTAAGAGAATAATTAGTAACGAAGTCTTAGAGCATTGATACTCACTAAATAGACGATAAAGATTTGTTAAACGACAGTTAAAAACTAAATAAACACGTTTATATTTTACCTAAGTTATTACTCAAAATCAAGGTAAAATGTGTTTCTTTTTAAATAAAAAACAATGAAATATGTTCCAACCCTAGTGCCACATACCTCTCGATTTCTGTTAAAAATCGACGGATTTTTTTTTAATATTTACATTGTTTACACAGAATATTAAAATAAAGTATTTAAACAAATCAAGAGTTTGACAAGGGATTCTTGAATAATAACCTATTTTTTCAAATTTCTGATAAGTTATTTGTTCTAACTAAGAGAAAATTTGTTTCTGTACTTGCAATCCATCCCAGAGAGACTTCATTATCTTGAGCAAATGTTTTCATGACAAACGTTTTTACATGAAAGAGAACATGAAAGAGAACGTGAAAGAGAAATGGATGATTGTGTTTAGGAATAAATTTCTCAATATCGTCAACCGAAGAAAGCATTAAATTTCTCAATGATTTCTGTTATTGACAACATAGGAAGGTTATTACAAAAATTCATCAACAACATCAATATCATAATGTCAAATAGGTTACAAGGAAAAAAAACGTCCCACCAAAGGCTTTTGCATCCCTAAATTCAGTGGTAGGGAAAAAGCACATGTCACAAACCCTCGTCCTACAAAGTAAAAGCAAAGACTTGAGAGGCAAATATTCTGGGTCGCATATAAGACTCAAAGGACAAAGGCCTAATGGTAATATGAAAGAATAAAGCATCAAACATGTATACCCATTTTCTCTTCAACACGGACGATTTCAAGCGCACAAAAGCTTTAATGACCTTCCAACTAAATGTGATGAGTGACCACGATCCACGTCTCACTTGACACTTACACTTGCCAATTGTTTCTCGTATTTAAGAAGGAACGCACGTCATTTCTCAAGTATTCAAATCCATTCTCTTACATACATCACTTTTCACTCGCATACTGACTTAATCGTTGAAGTGCTAACATTGTAGGTCATCACTCTCTCCACCACATCTGAAGCTCGGAACCACCGCAACAAGTTATGTCTCTTCATTTATCAGTTAATTACGGTTCACTACGGAATACTATTTATTTTAATTACTAGTTTTTTTATACTATAAAAAAATGAAGATTAAGATCGCATAAAGATGTTTAATATTTTATGAGAAATTGTGATTTTTAAGGGTGCGGCCGATATTTCATAATCCTCTAACAAAATTTAGAGCATAAATTTTGTTGTTGATAGACATAGTGATAATGTATAATATAAGAAAGTTAATGTTTGTGGAAAATACAACCATGCCCTTATACCATAAGTGGACACATGTATAAAATAAGGTTATTTTATGTCAACTTGATTAAAATTTCAACGAAATTGGTTTAGTTTGGCAAACAAACTAAAAACTTTATTTTTTGCCCAGTAACACAATTATTTATAACTATCCAAATTTAATTATAACGATAGAACTTTACATTTTTATTTTCAAATATTAACAATCCAATCAATGTAAGGACAACGACCTTACTTATATTGAATATATAATTTATTTTGGTTTAATATATTTTTGAGTCCCGTATCTTAATCTCGAAGTTTATTTTGATTCTTTAACTTTAAAAAAGTTCATATTGATCATTTAACTTTTCAAAAACGTTTCATATTAGTCATTTTTATCTAATTAACGACGAATTTAATGATTGATTTTTTAATTTTTCCGTCGCTAATAGGACAAAAAATACTAATATAAAATGTTGAAGAATTAATGGATCAATATGAAATCTTTTAAAGTTAAGAGATCAGAATGAACCTCAAAATTAAGATACGATAAAAAAAAATATTAAACCATTTATTTTCAAGTATCAAAAAGCACTAGCAAGCTAATAAATTCACTTTTCGAAAGTTATTTTGTACAAACACAAATTTACTTTAAAACTACTTTATATCTATCATTATCATATTTAGAAAATTTTATTTATATTTGATCACTCTATCACACATTGTTTCTCAATATTTATATCTCTCTTTTCTTTTACATTGGTTTGAGATCTATCCTGAGCTTCCTCCTCCATTTTTCCCCTTTATTCCATCATTCTTTATTTGTTATTATTTTAATATTTGGAGTCAGTTTATTTTACCATATGAGAATTATGTTTTTCTTATCTTTCTTTCTTTCAATCTCAACCATAAATCTTTACAAAATATGATGTTTTTGGTTGCAATTTGTCTATTTAATTTATTTTCAATCTATAAACTTATTTAAATGTATGATTTATTTGTTAACGTTCAATAATTTATTTGTTAACACAGTTTTTTTTCTCCTCAAAATTTTTCTTCTTCTAATTTATCTATTGAATTTGTTTTGGATCTATAGACTTTATGTTATTTTTGGATTTTGAAAATAGCAACATAAGAAGTTATTGGGATGAGTCGCAAAACAGTTTGATCTTTTTTAGATATTTCACAACACTTGTTAAAATTATGCAAAATAGTCAAATTACTTTACCGCCTCCAAGATTAAATAGACCAGTTCTATATTGTATGATTACTACTTACACGATAGATAGCCAGTCTAGAAATACACTCTATGATGGTACAAATACCATTCAAATATAATATAATTACATTTGTAGTATCTGGTATAACGATCCTTCATAATAATTTATCAAATCAAAAAAAATTCTAATGGTTCTCCAAAGAGAATTCAATAATGATCATTTGAACACTCAAAATTATGTCTCAAACTAAGAAAAATTCGAATAATTTTCAAAATAGAATCCAAAAATTAAACTTGAACGAGACAAAATTAACATAATTCTCTTTACGACATGGATAATGAAGAAAAATGTGACTTACTTTTTGAACACAGTGAGAAGTTGACTTTTGCATATGTCATCCTAACACTGCCCAGAGGAGCACCTATTCGAATCACTAAGAATTTACGCATTTGCGGTGATTACCGTAGTACCATAACCTACATATCCATGATTGTAGAACATGAGATCATACTAAGAGACTCTAGTCGCTTCATCATTTCAAAAATGGATCCGGCTCATGTAAAGGGTACTGGTGAATATAGAAGCAGGCCATTTCATTAGATGTAACTATCTTCTCTGACCATACATCACATATTAAAACTATGTTGTGATTGGATAGAGAAGATTTGAACATCTATGTTCTTGGTTCATGGGAATGTCCTTATAACAAACGATTTATTTCATTGAACATAACTAGATTTAGTACAATCTGTTGGTGACTTCTCTAGTATATGTTTCACACTTCTGCAATTCAGGAATTCCTTTGGCAATTACTATAGAACTTGTC